CAGCAAAACCCCGGGCAGGTATGACAAGAGAGAGTTCCCCCAAAAACCTAAAAAAACACAACTTGCTGTTAATTCACTCACCCTCAGTCCATCCGAGATGTAGGTGGCTTTTTTTTTCTTCAGTAGAACAGTAACGATTTTTAGCTCAGACTGTGGTCGTTGGTGATTCATAGAATGCAAGGCAACGGCTACCGACACTTTGAGAGTCAAAAAAAAGCATCAGGCAACACAAAATCAATACCCGTGACTCCTGACGATACAGGTTTCAGCAAAAAATCTTCTTTATGGTTTTACTGAAGAAAAAAGTCAGTTGTGCAGGTGTTGCAGCATGTGAGCGGTGTGTGTGTGTGTGTGTGTGCAGGTTATCTGGGGAAGCGCCGGACCGGGACAGTCTAGCATGGCTGCACAGTAATGTACAGGATGTGATGTCACTGTTACAGCATATCCCATCAGCCCCTTCTGCTCTCCCGGAGGTGAGTGAGCACATTGACACGTGTGTAACACAATGTGGCTTATTCATAGAATTGACCTTTGTAAACACATGTTTGATTATATAAGTGTGTGTGTGTGTGTGTGTATGGTGTGTGTGTGTGTATATAGTGTGCGTGTGTGTGTATAGTGTGTGTGAGTGTATAGTGTGTATAGTGTGTGTGAGTGTATAGTGTGTGTGAGTGTGTGTGTATGATGTACCGCCAGCTGGAACAGCAGTCTGCAGTGCCAGTAGGGAGTCTGCTGTGAGATCTGGATGGCCTTCCGTAACAGCGGTTTCGCCGAATCAACCAAGTTCTTTAGAAGAGAAGAGTACTTTTTTACACGTCAACACAAATACACACAAACTACACAACTGATGTGTTTTATATATAGCTATAATATATGTTATATATATATATAACTTTTTATTTGATTTATAAATAACTATTATTCACAGTTATTTATATATTATAAAATATAAATACAGTGGTGGCCAAAATTATTAGATTAAACATTATTTTAAACATTACTCACTTTTTTCAAAGATAGTCGTGTTATTTTATTACTTTGACTTAAAATAGTGCATTAGTAATATTTTGCTCGATGCGCCCTCTTGTGGCCTCAGGAGAGAAGCCAAAAGCTTTTTTCCCTCCAACTGAAATTATGCCTTTTAAATTCTAATATTGATCATATTTAAGTACAAAATTTGAATTTAGTTTTTCAGCCATTTTGACAGCTCTAGTATACACAGAGTACGTGTGATCGCGAATCTCGACAGTGAAAGCAAAAAGCGAGTGCACATTCAAAAGTGATTTTAATTCCCCGCATATTAATAACGGCTCCCTGATGCCCACAATTTATATACAGTATAATTACCCAACGATATTTGCGAGAGAAAGCATTGAAATATATTAAGCAGTGTTGTGTTGTGAATCAGACTCACCTGCTGGCAGTACAGCTCTGACAGGAGACTCGCCGCCTCAAACTTAACATCCTCAAACTGTGCTACCTGCACACCTGGGCTAAGGAAAGCTCAATAAAACACTGCTATCATTAGATATCATGTAACTCTCATACACTTACAGCAGAGCGTCTGTTTACTTACACAAATCACAATCTCAACACTAATGGACAAGATCGAGTTTGACATTTGCTCAAAGGATACCTGCTGTGAGATAAGCCACTGAAATAGAGAGAGAAAGAGAAGCAGAAGTCTGTTAGCATCTACAGCAGCACATCCCATAATGCCACAGGACAAATACAGAAAACAGAGGGAAAACACAAAAGACTCTCATTATATATGCTTTACAATAATAAGCCCTTAAAACACGAAAACATCATTAATAGCACATTCCATCATTGAATCTATGGATGAATTATTAACAACAATAATAATAACACTGTAAAACGCGGGCCGGGACTGCGGCCTAGTCGCTCGGCTGAGGCCTCGGTCTTTCCTGCGCGCTCTCACCGCTTTCTCGAGGTGCGTGCGGGCCAGCTCGCTGTTCTTCGTGTGGTGGTAGAGCACCGAGCCGAGCTGCAGGTGCGTGCGGGCCTCCACTCTCTGCGGGGGCTTGAACTGGAAGACGGCCTGCAGGCAGTGCACACACAAGCGGATTTTGGGAGGACTGGAGGTTCGGAAATGTTCGGCGAAACCGAGCAGAGCCAGATACCAGGAGTCCGGGGCCTCCACGCCTGCCGCCATCTTCACCACAACAACAACAAAAAGAGAGCGCGGCAAATCTCGCGAGAGTTCCGCGGCTCTGCCCTGAACGAGAGCTGGGCTGAATCTCGCGAGAGGACGATTTCGGTGTTGCCAATAGTGATGCAAAGTCCGATTCATTTCCGCGAACCGGTTCTTTTCGGACAGATCGGCTCATTGAACCGGTTCAAAAAGCCTATTCATCGGTTCCTGACGTCATCAAGCAATAACGTCTCTACGCATTTATTTTCTAACAACTCAGTGCCATGCTGTATCAATGAAAAATTCAAATAAGTTATTTGTGTCTATCTATCTATCCATCCATCCATCTATCCCGTCTATCTATCTATCTATCAAAATGCAATGTGTAATTTAAAATACAGGTAAAATGCTTGTGAAAAATTAATACAGAAAACCCCTTCATATTAACACTATATAACCCTATTTTTATGGACTTTCCTTGGAGTGTAGCATTTAAGTTGCTATACACTGCTTAAAACTATAATTGTTAATCATGTATAATTTTACAAGCTATTTAGAAAATACAGAAAATGTAATTGTTAATAAATGGGTACATTTTCAATCATTTAATGTAATAAAAATGTTTTTGTTACTTTTCCAAATATGAAATGTTTATATTATTTTTACGAACAAATTTGATTTAACATATTTCAAATTATATTCTTTGCTAAGATTCAGTAATTTCAGTGTGTATTCTATGCGGTGACGCAGTTTTGCGTCATGGTTACATAATGACATCATCATTCAATGACGTCACATCGACCTGCCTTTAGCAACACTGGGGATGCTTGCCTTTTCTGCACGGTTTACAAAATCAAAAAGAGAGCTATTATTAATTAAAACAACAGTCTACATCTTCACAGCGTATACAAATCCATACATCTAATTTGCAGTTTCATGCAGAATAAATACAAATTTTGCTTGCTTTGTCTGTCCATTTAAGCTTCTCAACAAAGGCTTGGTTAAATAAATTACTTATAGTAAAATAGTAACAAAAATACCATTAAAAACTTTTTTTTTTTTTAAGACATTTTTCTTCTACACATATTGGGAGAAATAATTTCAATATATCGCTTAAAACTCTACACAGAAAATGTTTTATAATCTTAATGTACTGTATTATAACATTTAGACATTAATCGTTATTCTTCTGTGCCTCTTCTAGAAGCTTTTGGAACCAATTAAATACTTCCCTTTTGTTAAAGCACAACAATAAAGTGCTTTCTGATTCTGATTCATAAGCTATTTTACACGTTTTTACTCCATGGAATATCTGTACTTTAAAAACTTCATTTGTCACTTCACAGGACAACGTAAAATTAACTTGAAAGGAAAGAGATTATTCAAATATATCATTCAAACCGTATGTCTTTCCTAGAAACCCAAACCACTTCACAAACAGGTCTAAGTGCTGAGATCGACTTCTTCCAGATCCTCCAGTGTTTCTCTGCATTCTTATTCTCAAAGCAGAAAAACTGAAGGTGAATAAGCCAGCTCAACTAGAGAAGCAGCAAACACACAGAGAGTCTGAGAGCACAGGCGTTTAATTGATCTCACAGAGTCAATGACAGACGGTTGAATCCGTTTAATCAGGACTGTAACGAGCCCGAAATGACTGAGAGGGTTTGTCGTGGGGTTTCATTTATAATATCTGTGCTCATCAATGGGTAAAACACACATAAAACCTGCACTGATGTTAATATTATATTGCGCAGCTGACTATATCAGGGGCTTTTACAGTTTTGAATAAATGTAATAAATCAGCATCTTTAAAGAAACAAACAGAAACGTGTGAAGGGCTTATTAAAATGTACTCAGGTGAATTTTTTTTTCTATTTTCTGAAATAAAGCGCATCATAATTCAAAAAAAGACTAAACAAAAAAAAAGTAGGTCCAGAGGAGATGCTGCGGCGTTCAGTAGTACGGCCTTCTGGGATTGTTCTGTGCAGAAACACAAGACACGTGTTAGTAAAATCACAAGCTTCTCTACATCTGCACATGAGATGAGGGTGTTCTGGTGTGGTTCGGTTCGTTTGGCTGGTACAAATGAACCGCAAACAAATAATACAGTGCAAGCTCTGAACGTCTGATTCATGGAACTGCATCATGTGCAAACGCACTGAAATGGCTGATGGGTAATGAGTGCGTGAGAGGCTCACCAGAGGGTTCGGTCTGAAGCGATACGCCAGCATCATCCTCTTACGGAAAGCATCGTACTCATCGTCACTCTTAAAAAGCTTTTGGCTTCTCTCCTGAGGCCACAAGAGGGCGCATTGGTCAAAATATTACTAATGCAAGTTTATTCAACGCAATAAAATAACACAACTTTCTTTGAAAAAAGTGCATCATGTTTAAAATAATGTTCGTGTGTGAGAGTGTGTGTGTGTGTGTGTGCCCCACCTGTTGACGGGGTTTTTGATGCCCTGTCCATCTGAGCCCAGACCATCGCCCTCCTTCCAGCCCATCTTCATCAGCATCTTGAAGCCGATGTTCTCCACCGTCAGCTTGAACTCTTTGTACTCTGAGTAATCTGGGTCTCTGCCCTCCTGCACATCACAGACAGGAAATACACACACGTCACACCGCTGCTTCCTGTCTCATTTAGCAGATGCTTTTATCCAAAGAGGAACAAAAGCAATTCGTCCAATTCACATTTTACAGTTATTCATTTAGCAGACGCAGAACTGCAAGTATGACTGTTTTCAAACAGGTTCTGTGGGTGTCAGGTCACATGACGTGATCAGTCTCACCTTCAGAGCTTTAAACGTCTCCATGAACTTCTCCAGCTCATCCGGAGGCAGGAAGTCACCAATGAAGTGCTTCCCTTTGCCCATGTCCGTCAGCTGCTCCGCCCACTCTGTGACACACACATCACGTCACGTGTGTGACATATAAACCCTCACATCACGAAACGTGTATTCAGTCACTGTGTGACCTCTGACCTCGGGTCTTCTCCATCTCCATCTGTCTGAGCCGATGCTCCCAGGTTCCGTCCTCAGGATCCAGCTCCTCATCGCTGTCGTACTCGTGCTGGTGGTTTTTGATGGTTTTCTCCCACAACAGCTGCATGTCCTGCATCGCACGCTTGTGCTTCATGATCATGTCGAGCATCTCCTGCATCTGATGCACACACACACACACACGCTGTTTTTACACTCATGTCATGTGCTATATTACTGTAGGGGTGTGCGATATTGACAAAAAAATTGTATCTCGATATTTTCTGTGATTTTATCGAGAACGATAATTAGGTGATATTTTGCTGACTCCTAAAGTTTTTGATATTCTTCACACTGATAGAAATTAATCTTTTTTCAATAAGTTTAAACTGATTTTTACATTTTATGGGCATTTTTCACAAGACATGAATGCATTTAACCTGCAGTTACTAATGCATAAATAATGTTTTGATATATTAAACATAAAACACATACTGATATTTGAAATTATTTAAATAATAAAAGATACTATAAATGTGTAATTAAAACCGCCAGCAGGTGGCAGCAAGTCACTGTTAATAAGTGAGTCACTGCGACTGAACCGAATCATTTAAACACTTGATTCATTCAGGAACGAATCACCGTCATGTTGCTCAGAAACACAAAACAGTGCTGTGGCTGTGTTTGGAATTATTTTTGTTGATGAAAATGGGGCAAAAACAGGAAATATGGTGTTTAAAACATAAGTCTCTTCATTCGTGAAAAACAACATCACATTTGTAATCATAGTAATTTTGGAGAAAGAAATGGCACTCTTCGTGTGAAATTGATGAACTATATGAAGTGGTATAAATATATACATTTTCTGGCCCCATGACTTGAATTTGTGATCATTTTAAATGTATTTTAATAGACTGAGTCATGCAGTTAAAGAACGCAGTCTAATATACACACACTAGTCTAAACTTCAACAACTGAAGTCAACAATTAAAACAACAATTACGATATTATCGCAGACGATATATCGCACACCCCTATATTACTCTATAATCTCAGCTGCTTGATTGTTTATATCGTCACAAATGTAACTATCATCATCCAGCTCTAATCTGATCAATGCGACTATAAGGCATGACGATATTATGACAAACAATAAAACAAAAAATTATGATAAACACTGACATCATGATTTTATGTAAAGCTGCTTTAAAACAATGTGTATTGTGAAAAAAAGTGCTATATAAATAAAATGTACTTGAAATTTTTTATGAGAGAATCATTGCAGGGTAAAAGGAGGTGAAAATGGTGAAGAACTTCCTTTTAACGTACAAACTTGGCTCTAAATTTCCTGGAAATGATATTTATAAATCTCTTTATAATTATGTGTGTTTTACTTTCAGTTTCAGCACTAGTTCATTTCAATGTTATGGCATGTGACTCTTAACGACATGATTGACAGTTTATGGGGTTTATGGGTAATGTGTGTGTTCATACTTCCTGTTGTTCTTTGAGTTGTTTCTTCTGATCGTCTGACAGCTCTGTCACACCCACCAGACCCACCGGCTTCCCCTTCTTATAACCCAGACTGCTCAGCTCCTGATCTACACACACACAGAGTACAAATGTGGACAAATTATGCATAAAGACGTAAAAGAGTGTGATTCTGTGTGTGAGTGCGTGTGTCCATGTGTGTGTGTGTCCGTGTGTGTGAGTGTCCGTGTGTGTGTGTGTGTGTGTGTG